GGAATGTAAGCTACTTGCCTAAAGTGGGAAGTGTGAGAAGAAGGTTACTTCTCAGTTCCCACTTAGGCTGTGTTTATGTACATGCAGTCGAAGGTCATGTGGGGAGTGCCACATCATCTACGTGCACAGCTGTATCTGCCTGGGTATCTCTGTAAGAGATCTCAGGAGCATCCGGTGTGTAGGGCGTCACCCGGTGTGTCTGGGTCTGTCATATCCATTCCTGGCCATCAACTTCCGGCCCCTCCGATCCCTCCGCTCCTTCTTTACTAACCTCGGAGCTCCCATATTCTGCAATCCTCTCGGTACCCCTCGATGGTCACCACCCCCTCCTTTCAATTTATTACCTATGCCTCCCTAAGTACGGAGCCCCGAAGACTTCCGGACAGCTCCGACGTCCGCTAGCGCACTCCCGCCTCCGCTGGGCAATACACTTGCCTGCCCTGCAGAGCCCACCTTCGGGCCTATCCCTCCTTTCCGTTTCTGGGTTATCGCCTGCCTTTCTGTTAACCCCGCGACCCGACTCGTCGGTAATATTCAGTCGGCTAATGTTTAACCCCGTTAGCTCCGCTCCGTTCGGCTCCGCTATTTGCGGACCCATCTTCGCTGTAACCATATATATATCCAACTTGTACATAGGTTACACTTCAGTAAAATCGACTAGAGTTACCCCCCTTCAGTTCTGGTTGTCAGTTAGTAAGTTAGGGCACGGACGTTGTAAGCGGGCTAGGGATCTAACCCACTAGGAAAACAGGAAAGGACGGGGACCGGATTGGTATCCAGCAGGTCAGGGAAAAGGGGGGTAATGGTGATAATGGTCCGGTGCGGTGCGTGGGTGGCTCTAATCAATCTCTCACCCCACCTCTCTGGGTGACACTAAAGCGAGGACTGATCTAGAGGTCTTCTTACTGATGTTCTTCTATGTCGTACTACTCCCTACTAGCTTGGGAGGGGCAAACTCGGTGGTTTCTAATCCCAGGGGAAAAGTAGATACATCCTCATGTACAGGTATATATGAGAAATGATCAAATAAAAATGAAGGAAAATATCCGATGAGTCCCATGTGCTTAGGTGGATCATATGGGCAACAAACAATATCGGAAAAAAAGAAGGGAAAACAATAATCAAGAAAACAATAAAGCAATAAATGATTTCCAGCCAAAAAATACCCAACTCTATCCATCGCCAATGAACTCCCGCTAATCATGGATCCTAATACTCCTAAATGACACGTTTCCAACGGTACCAATATCGTCCAAATCGGTGCAGTGGTTGCTGAGATAAGTGAAATCCAGTCTGAGTGTGGCTGCGCTGCTGGGTGGGCGTGGGAATTTGGTCTGTGGGGACTGGGAATGTGTCTGAAAAAATAGGGAAAAATCATGGAAGGGTAGGAATAGTATATGAGGATGTGTACAACGTGTTTAGTGAAGTGAAGATGTGCAGGGGTAGGGAAATCGCGATATTCGGTTCGTTTGTGCAGTACCGGCTGTGCCCACCTACAACATGTTACTAGGCACAGCGCTCTTGGCATAAGTCACTGAGGCCGAAGCCCTCCGCCACGGAGACTTTCCTTCATCTCGAACCTGGTCTCTGACAGGGTCCGGGCATGTTGTGCAGCCTGGTTAATGGTACATCGAGCAAGGAAGTCATCTGTGTAGTAGAAAAGGAAAGAAGGAGAAAGAAAGGAAAGAAGAAAGAAGAAGGGAAAGGAGGAAGGAGAGAGGAGGGAAGAGAGAAGGGAGGAGGGAGGATGGGGACACTGGGTGAGGGTAGTGGGATCAGGTGGGGTCGGACCAGGTGGAGAGGCAGGTGTGCCCTGACAGAGTGGGGAATGGCCAGCTGACTGAATAGAAAGGAAGCAGCAGCTCAAATAGGAATGAGGGAGTATAGCAGAATTGAATGGAGCAATGCAATAGTTGCAAGGTCCGAAATAAGTCCAGAAAGTCCGAACTTGGAAGTTAAACTCCGGAATATTGGCAAACGTAATTAAATGGAATGAGCTAACCAATACAATGGGTATAAGTGGAGGTGGGGTCAAAGTCCAAGGTCGGAGCTAAGACCGGAGGTTCCGGAGACAGAGATGCGAACAGGATTCCGGAGTCGGGAGCATAGGTGTTGTGTGCTCTCATCTGGAAGGTGTCGAGGTTGAGGTCGGACCCAGAATGTTCCAGAGTCGGACCAAAGGTGGTGTCAGAGCTGGAGGTGGGATAACCTCTTGGAAGTTGGTGTCAGGGCACACACCCTGACTAGCCCGGACCCAGACCCGCATGTGTGCTCCGCCCTGCATGCTCCATGCGCCGCATGCTCCGGGCCCGGTCCCCACTTCTCATGTGACTTCCAGGTATCCCTGGAAGTTTTTGCCATATTGGGCCACTGTGGGAAAGTGAGAAGTTAACCTTCTTCTCACTTTCTTACCCACAGTAGGCAAGTGTATCTTACTTGCCTTTCTATCTTTTATACACTTTCTTACCCACAGTAGGTTGTGCCTTAGGATAGGCTGTTTACACACAGGGCTGTGGGCTATAGAGAGAGGGGTCATGGGGACCCGGGGTCTGTCCCCTGACAGTTGGCAAGGAGAAGGTGACAGAAGGGAAGTAGGGCTCCAGAGTCAGTTTCGGAGTTCCGGGAGCCCGGAGCGGAGGTTGGGATTGTATGGATATGACATTTCCCCTGGCTTTAATCACAACTAGGTTATCGGAGCAACTTGCATGAGCACGCACATCCCCTGACACATACAAGTCAGCATCATACTGCAGAACAGCTTGCTTTCGTGGCTGAAACCATAACACCTCTATGCTCCCTACCCTCAGTGTTGAGGGCATACTCCATGTCAATATTCAGGAGGGAGCAGTTACATTCAACAATTTCATTCATTCTATCTCTCCTCACATGAATCTGTTCCCCCTCCCTCAAGGGGTGTCATTTTGGGAAATGCCAAACACAGGGTACAGGGGGGGTTCATGAGAGAGGGCAAAACCTATTTTCAGACGACATTTTAGATTAAGTTATGTACAGTGAGAAATCGATTGTTAAGTGAAGAGTGTATGTTATGAGAAGGAATGTTGGAATACAAGTCACATGATTAGACTACTTAAACCGGGAATATTCTACAGGTTACTAGGCACTTGCATAAGTGCTGGGCATAGAAGAGCCTGGAATGTTATTGAGGAGTATAAATATGGGCACTGGAGTGCCATGTGTATTTTAGTTATATTTTACATCTGGACTGCAAGTGAACTGCTGAAGCGGGTTGCCATATTTGGAATGCCACATTTACAAGGGTTGGTCAGCAGAAAAAGGTCAGTCAGCAGCAAAGGGCTGGTTGAAGGCAAGAGGCTGGACACAGAAAAGGGTTGGCTGGTGGCGAAGGTCTGATTGGTTAGGTAATTATCAATTACATTGTAGTTACATTGTAGTTCATGTACTTTAAACTGAGTGCTTATATGCAGCTAGTTCATAATTTCAATACACTTTACTGGGACATTTCCACATGTGTTCATTTGAGATGGAGTGCTTGCTGGGCCCATACAGGAATTTAAGAAGTTTTTGGATGAATTGGGATTTCAATTCTTGCTCCATACCAAATTCCTAAATTTGGGAACCGGCATCTCCTGAAATGATGGATACTGCCGATTGAATTGAAGGGGGGGGGGTCTCACACATTGCCCTATATCCCAAAAAGGGACATGATGTTTAGGATTTCCATAACTGACCCCCCTGCCCTCCCTCAGTCTCTTCTCAGTATGTATAACCCGTCAATCCATAGATCCGACGAGCTTGAAGAAACATGTGCTGACCAGTTTGTAGCCATTCAAGCTCAACCCCAATATTGCAGAGGTGTTCAACTTGTGTTCCCCCAACTCAAACTCAACGAGGAACACAGAATAGCTGGGCACTAACGTACTGTATTGCAATATAATTTAACTGTATTGATAATAAAAATTCCACTGAATGGCCAATTTCCGAGGGTGATTTCCTGTGAAACATATTGATACCCCTTTCACTTTTTATCAGACAGATTCCCTCAAAAGCGCTGTAAGTACTCTCCTCCTCTTTGTACTATTGTTTCACTTCACTGCTTCTCTCATGCTTTCCGGACCACCACTACCTTCCCGTTCCTCCACCGACGTCACCAGTGAGTAACTCAATTTCTTCTTGCTCTTTCTCTTAACAGAATATCCTTCGCTCCCTGGTCTTACAGCCTTTCACCACCTGCTGAATTGGCATCTTCTCACCAGTTGATTCCCCTTGCCGAAAACCACGGTGTTTCTTTCAACATTTGCACTGTGTCGCATATTCGTGACCATTTACTTGCGCATATTCTGTTTGGTGACTGTTACCAAATTCCCATCAGGCCTGCCCCTTTCCCTGTGTGTGTCCACCTTTGCACCCGATTTCCGGATTATGACATATATCTTCATGATGTACTTACCTTTTTGCTCTCCTCTGTGATGACATTTATAACAAACCTAAAGCGTAACGCTGGAGGGAGACATTGTCGCGCACCCTCCGGACACAACAGCATATGTTGTAACAGGGGAAGGGTGGGGTGTTTATACGTAGTTGGATCTTCAACCCATATATATTTTGCAACAACGGAGGACGGAAGAATGGCAGGACCTGCCGCGTCAGGCGGCGTCCACCAGTTATTCTATTGTGGAGAGCACATGCTTTGTTCTGACTCAGCCCGTAATACTACACACTCATCTGATCCAAAGAGAGTTCACGAGTGATTGGAGAAGTGGCACGTTGATTGGTTTAAGGCCCAGAAAAAATCCTTAGTGCAAGCTGTGTTGACATGGCAACCCGACGTAGCGCAGTGACGAGGACGGGCCACTAGGCACCTTATTGCCGACGTGGCGCGCCGGGGCACACATATCGTAACCACCCGCTCAGGCAGCGGAAAGGACTTCTCTTAACTTCATGTTGTGCACCCAAATAGGTACATAAGGGTCCACGACTTGGCCAGAGCACGATATCTAACTATCGACTTGATATCGCGCTCAGACCCCTGCCGGCTGATAACAAGCTACAGAGCCAGCAAGTTGATACACCAATGCTTTGAAAGCTTGGAAACACTGAAAAACGACACGGCGATTCTCCAAGGGCTTCATGCCTTGAATCATATAGTTCAAACGATCTGGGACAGGAGGCACAAGTCTCTGCACAGTCATAGCGAATGCAGGGTACTGGCCGGTCACAATTGCCTTGACCAGGGCTTCTGAGACAGGAATCTTAAAGAAAGTTGGGGCCCTTCCGATCATCGTGATGCCGGGAATCACAGCATGTGCAATTGTGGCAAGACCTATGCGTTCTCGTCCTTTGTTATTCTGATAAAACGCTTCGGCCACAAGCTGAGGTTCTGGGTTGACGCTGGATAAATGGCGCTATTGGGTTGATTTAGGCGCTGAAAACGACATGGCTGGACATCATGTTCTTTGTCCTTCTGTACAAGCAATAAATACCTCGCGGCTCCCCCACATTCCATAACACAAACATCCGTCTTGGCAGACACCCGCTGTCCGCACATCTCAAAAGAGAGTTCCTTCTGTTGGTGAATGATACGGCGACCAGAGTCATATCCCATCAATTTAAGAACAATAGATGCGAAATCATCCACGAAAGACTCTTCATCAGGAGGAACGGCAATGGCATCCTCCAAATATGCGAAAAAATCGATGTCTGCCTTGGTTGCGTCGGGCGGTTCATCAATGTTGCTCAAGATTACCGGTGAGACATCGAGTTGGTCTGGAAGGGGGTGCCCAAAGAACTCATATGTGTCTTCATTGGCTATTCCAATATTGAAAACATAGAGTTCATTCTCTCCCCAGTCACTGCCAGACTTGGCTGAGCGGAGTAAATTTGCCATTGCTTAAGCCTTCAAGGATAGTGCCGGGCCGCGAGAATCTTAACCAGGGACTGACCTCTTGTTATTTAATGGAGGTACGAGATTAAATTAGACTTGTGTGCGGTTGGACTAAGCGCTCTTTTTTCGCGCTTGGCACATTACCCGGTGATGCCTTCATCTTATGCGCCGTACCCGCTGTCGGCCTTACGCATACTGTGTCTTCCGAGGCTACAGTCATGCCGATTCAGGTTTTATTGCCGCTGCATACCTGGGTCGATTTCCTCGGACGAATTCCGTACGTGTTTATTCGTCCGCTCATGCTTCTGGGCTCTGGCCCTCTTATTCCTCATCCTCTGCTGAAGGCGTTTTCTTTGTTTCTTTTTTAGTCTCATTTCTTTTAGCCTGAAAAGCGATTTTTGACGTAGTTTTCTCTCGGAGTCCCTTACTTCCGGTAAGCGTTTCGGTCTCACTGAGCAGGGGGGGTGTTGTGACCTCCGGTTACTCTCGGTGGGTTGGATCCCGAGTGCTTACTCTAGTTTTTCTAGGTTTCTTTATTTTCGGTTGTTCCCTTGTTTTTGTAACCTCTGTTCTTCTCCTCCTTGTTCTTCCTCGTCCTTGTTTTTTCGCGTTGCCCTCCTCCTTCCCCAATCTCCATCCTTGTAAATTACCGTTTCCGATCGGGATCTACGGTTTTATATGCGTGATATGTCAACTGGCGATTGACAGGAGGGGCTTGGGAAATACTGCATTCAGTGTGTCGTGAACTCAAAGTTGGGACCCTCTCATGTGGACAAACAGCCTCTCCGAGCCACATCAGGTTATTACATTATTGTGCGCGTAGTGTTTGGCTATGCTGCGCAGGATGCGTGCTCCCAGATTAAATGATAACGCAGTGGTCAAATGAAATAAATGGCAGCGGTATCGAAAAACCGGCGGGTTTACTTTCACCGCGCTGGGTCAAATGTAAGTAATGAATCGGTCTAGGGAAATACTTGAAAGCATGACCCTAACTCCGCGGACGTGATCAATCAGAAAGAGTTATGTACTCATGTCATTCCCTTCGACGTGAAAGACAATGCAACCGATCCTTGAGGTTACTATCAGGCCTTAATATGTTCAAAAACAGAACACAAAGCTACGAGTTGTAAGATCTGGTGGGTGTAGGATGTTGGCATGGACTTCTTCTTAGGTTCTGCATATACGGTGGGTGTGAGCCACGCTGTTCCCTGCCACTATGGTAGTAAGTGAGAACAAAACAGTCGTGGTGTCACAATTTCGTATGCAATTGATACGCCCAAATTCACTTGCTCGATGGGCGATCAGTATTTATGTAAACCAGTTGCGAATGAAAGATTGAACCAGGTGATTCTCACCTTCACGGATTCGGCGTGGGGTAGGGATATTCCTCGACAGTCAGAAGAACGCTCCCTCGGACGACCGCAAAGTCATTAAACTAGGGAAGAAAACAAGTTCCGGAGAGACAGCTAGCAGTAACGGAAAACCCCAAGGGGTGACTGCAGAATCAGGGAGGAACAATTTCAGGTGGCTGTAAAACTCACCAGGCAGCGTTTTGGCCCTGTCCCCCCTCCCGGTGCACTAGGATGGGGCCTACGCACTTAGTAGGATTTCAAGAGCCCACTGAGAGGGATGAAGTCCAGGAACACCTACCGGCAGTCCAGCAACCTCCACTACGAATGAGCTACTTATCACGGACAGCACTGGTCTACATAGAGTCCCTTAGTGATACATGTGACACTCGGAGAAGCAGGAAGACTGCGATATTGGACAACCACAGCAATGCTATCACGAAAGTATGAATTCCCTTCCAGCAGCCATCAGGCATTGGAGCGCTGGAATGAAGTGGCTTCATGCGATTCAGATAGTATAATCAGAAACAATGTGCCTGTTCCCTGATCCGTCCGCGCATATAAGATGCAGGAAGCGGCACCACAACGCTGCAATAAAACATGTTTCTGATATCCCCAGGAGTTCACTGGGCTGCATTAAAACAACGAGCATTTGATCTCTAAAAGGAATGCCTAAAATTGCTCGGAGGTCGGCGCTGATGCATATGATTCAAGAATCAGCAAGTATATGGTCATCGTCTTTCACGGACCCAATCCGATATATGCACACAACCAGAAATAGTCGTTGTATGAATGCCGAGGGGAATTGGCCTAAGGTAGTCGTATGAATACATACGTGACTACCCCGTGAATGGAAGTTTGGCCATCGACTGCAGGGAACGAGAAAGAAAGACCCGCAACACTATCAGTCCGATACGTTATGAATGCCTTTCCGAAATGATCACCCCAATCATCTCACAGAAATGTTTTTGTATTTTCTGATGAAGTCGATTGCGGCCACACGTTCCACTCCTGTCCCCATCACTCGTGATCGGCGGGCTAGTTGTAGGGTCGAGGCCTCGTTATTGGCTTCAATTCTTGGAAACACAAGCCCTTCATATCGTCATTGCACGCCGTAATGCACCAGGACCACACATACTAGCAGAAAGAGCAAATCCGGAATGACTGCGAAAAGAAATGTCAATACTACAACTTTGGTACCGTATATAAGAGCAATGAACGGACGTTTCTTAAAAGGTGGAGGAGTGGCCTATTCGTAGACCAATAAAGGCTCCAATCCAAGGAGAGGTTCCCATGCGAACCCAAAGCAGCATACCATAAACATCAACGGGTTGTGCGGCTGTTCTGATCGTCCCAACGAGGCCGAAGCTCACAACAAAGACCTTTGTGTGTGAGAAGATGGTTCCTGGCACGACTTCAGGGATAGTACAAGCCCCTTGAGACCCCAGATCCCTTGGTGTGCAACATGGCCGAGAGAATAGTAGAAGAAGCCGATTAATAACGGTGCTTCTTGGTCATGGCACAATTGTGGCCAGAGAACTGGCGTTCGTTGTCCCTATCTATACAAGGCCACACGGGGCCCAAAGACAAGAGGTCCTCATGCATGCCTTAGTATGCACTAATATGAACTATCGACAGCCCCAGAATCCTCGAGTGACTGCCACGATATCAACAGGAATGCTCATACATAAGTCCTGGATACATTTGTGGCACCTGACTATGGCCTGGCGGCGAGAGAAGAGATCGCCGGTGTCGCAAGGGTCCTGCTCTCCGTCTTCCCTCATCTTCACGAGTTGTAGCCACCTGAGCGCAATGAGAACAATTTCCTTTGACCATCCTCGTCAGCGCAACAGAGATCATGCCGTCGATAACATGGTACGGAACTCAAGCGCCCAATTCAGCCACATCGCGAATGATGGAACTGAGCCTGCCAATACTGCAGAACTGGCCAATTATTTTCATCGTTCAACCAGGGCATATCCACGCTTGGGATCTGGTCAATCTTTTGGTTAAGCTAGTCAATAGACGTGATACAGTGCAAAGTTCCAGCGGAACAGGGCATGGAAATTCCAGAGTCTCGACAAATGGCACGATTACCTGGGAAACAAAGGTATCCATAAGTCAAAAGGCCCGCGAGTTTGAGATAATGCAGGATAGCTAGATTGGCTTCCAAGAGACTTTGAGGTAGCCACACAAAACGTCTGCCCAAAGCGAAAACTGTGCACATGACCATCGCCTCAACAGTTCGAATTTCCAACGTTCCTCACACCACCAATGGCTTCTGTCGAGAAGTCCTGCGAGACTTGCGAAACTTGCCAAGCAGAGTTAGGGTCACCGGGAACGGATAGAGACACCAAGCCCTCCACCAAGGACATCCCTGAACCCAATGCATTTGTGCCACCAGACGTACCATTGATTACCCCGAGTGTGGTGATAGAGTTTTGCCACAAAGTAAGTGTTCGAATGCTCTGCTAACTGAATCACAAGCTTCAAATAATAACGGGTGCTTCCACCCTCCTCTTCCAAATGCAGTGCCGATGGTGAGTTCAATAAATGAGTACTTGCTCACTGCTTACACACCGGACCATGATCAACTTCCCTGCCACACTCTCATGATCCCCCTGCCCGCCATCTGCAGGTTACACCGTGCCAGCTGGACCCAGACGGAGCTCTTTCTTACCTTTCCACCTCCAGTTCTGAAATCCATTACTCCCATACCTCACGACACGCCAGAAGCCAGCGGACGCTTCCGCCTCTGGCTTGCCACTGAAAACAAAAATCATTCAAAGGATCCCCTTATCGAGCTGATCTGGGACAGGAAGACCCAAGGGGGTTTTCCGGAACTAAAAGATCTGGTGAGGTTATATACCTAAGTTCGGCCCCAAAGACACTGAAGTATCAGTGATTGCCTCCTAGAAACAAGGAATACGTGATAGGATCCAACCAAACCTCTCTCTGGGACACTCGGACAAGAAGACGAAAGAGTAGAAATCGTTAAGATCACTCAACCATCGCAGAACCAAAACCGCGAAGATTCATGTTGCCAAGCAAAGACAGAACATAATAGTAGAAGGAAGTGCATTGCGTGAATACGGCTCTACCGATTCCTCACCGTCTTCCCTTCATCTTGGTTTGAGATTGCGCATGCTTCTCGGCTCTCTTCTGTAGCTTTATTTGTCTCTTGCTGAGGCCATCCGCCGAGTTTGTGGCTCCCTCTACCGCTCCTTCATTCGAGGACTGAACTATTGAGCCGGGGGGCGAGCGAGACGCAATCAATGGTGAAAGGAAGGTACTCCAAGCTTTGAATCCCGCATACAGTGGGATCTGAAGAGTATTCGGGTGCGCCCAAAATAATGAGAAAAGCCCCAGGACGCGTGTGTACCAGACTCACTGAGAGATAGAGCCACCAAACAAACTCGCCGATCAACGCACTTCCAACCTGACAAAGCCACGTAATGTAGATAACATCAAAACACCATTCGGTTATGCCCCCCTGAGATAAATCCTCCCCAGGGGCGATCAAGGCTCCGGTATTAGGCTCCCGTTTCGGTGACCCAGTAGATATGAGATGTCGGAAGAGTACAAACTCAGGGATGGCAGTCATAATGTACAGTGTCAGTTGGCGCCATGTTGGCGGGAACGTCCGGTAAGGGAGAATCAGGCGAAGAAGGAAATAGGAGATCTGTGGACGAAGCAAATCACGGTCTGACAAGAAAAATGTTGCAGCACACTCACGTTTGCAATGAGCATGCCAATCTGAAGATTTTTGATTGCGACTTCATTCTGAGCAGCTGTCTTCTTAGCTGAGGCGTTGGCCTACATGAAACAAAACATTTGTGAGTTCCACACGCCAAAAGTTACAGCCAAAATGGCACACCATCGAGGGAGCAAAAGGTTGGAATGAATTGAATGGCGTTCACATGCATGTCGGATGCAAATACCTTGCGGCTTGACGCCTGGGGGTCGTCAAGGCGTCATATCATTTCGGGTTTTTGAAGAGATCGTTGGAATATCGTAGGCAGGACTCCAGCCTCTATGACTGGGAATATCGTTGGTACCGCAGAGCGCTTAGTGATCAGTTCGTCATCTATTCTCGACATAACTGCTACATGCCGCTGCATGATCATGATCCAGTTCGTCTCGCTCCATGTCTGGCAATTTCAACGAGCCTGGTATTATGCTTCACCCTCCGTCTCATCCCCTGGCCTCGAATAGTTCGGCGACCTGATAATGACGCTGCCTCCGCCTCAGTGGTTTGTATTGAAATATGAAGGTCTTCCCCCTGACAGGCGCTTGCAATGGTCATCCATCAGGCGACATGTCACACAAGCACGGCACGAGACACTGCCAGTGCAACATTGGCCCCTTTTCTCCACCGTCTCCGGTTTGGTCCGATCCAAAGAGCGAGTGTCAGCTACTTCATTCATTGAAGACGAATCCACTGTTGCGCAGTAAGCAAAAGGCCCAGTTTCTGCTAACGATGACTCTGGAAAGTAAAGATGAGTATCATGTAGGTACATTTCGCCGATCCGTCTTTCCCATTGGGTTGCTTATTCAGCCATATGAGGCTTTGCAATGTTTGCATTCGTATTTCGTTTGCTCCTTTTGTTCATAGGCTTCAGCCTGGCTTATCAAAAGCTAACCGATACAGCTCCAGATCATCTTATGCTTTTTCTTCAGTCACGCAAAACTCAATTATGCTCAATTTGAATCCAGAACCCCCCACTGTCTCAGGCGTGCAACTGGATCCTACACGCTTCAATAGATAACGATTATCATTGACATGCACGCCTGTGCACGTGCCCACCCAAGGGATTCGTACCAGATTGTTGGTACCATTGACAACTGCGAATTTGGCATGATCGATCGATCAAGTAGGGTTCATCTGCACTTCGTGCAAATCCATCCTTCTGCCCCATTAGAAGCCTGCAAGCACCTTTCGAGGCGCGGCTGTTGTCGACTATGCATCGACTGACTCAGGTTCCTGGTCATCGCGAACCAGTTCCCGACAATGCTTCCGCGCTTCTTCATTACCCATTCGCTGGGGCTCGTGCCCTTCTGGTGACCCCCAAGTGCTAGTGACATCCGCGTGTCGTCACTTCCCTAGATTCTCGGGGCGGTGGTACTCGAATCTTTGATCCATTTTGTGAACTCGCGGTGGACGAAAGCTTTTCCAGACCCTTTGCGCTTACGTACTTTATCTCTCAGCAATCATTGGACTCTCATAAGTAGTTCATTTGTCCGGGAAAAGTTGCTGATGCCGAACGGTTTCAATGAGTGTGCCGTCACCATGCCTCCAACCAGCCTTTTTCTCTCCATACTCAACAACTTGCCTGAGAAAAAAAATCAAACAAATGATTTTCGTCAGTCCCAAATTTTTTCGTCCTGAACTCACACTCTTCATGACAGGGGGGAAACATCGCGCATCCGTACCGGAATATGGTCCGTATTCTGATCTACGGGTTTCTACTAACTGCGAGCAACACCGGAATTTTCATCTCGCTTCTGTTGGCGAACTCCAGCTGCTGCCGAGATGGGTCGTAACAATAACTGCCTGAAAGTGACCCTCCACGTGCCCCACTGAACCTCTGGTTTCGGAGACATAGCCTTTTCTGGCGTGCTCTTCAGAATTGCCCGCCAAGCAAGACTCGTACAATCAACATTATATAATCCGATTCAATCATGATTTGTTCTAACGTGCAACGTCCATTCAATAACTTGGTTGTCATCCTGGGAGGGTCGAAAGGAAAAAATCTCTCGCGTTCTTGCTCCTAAATATATATTGCCCAAAGGGATCGGTCACTGTTCTCCCATTTTACGGTCTGAGTGGAGGAACAGCCGCATATTTCCCCTTGTCCTTCTCTTTCTCCAAATCTATTGGCAATGCACGGCGGCGGTGTCGGCGCTCACGCGGCTTGCGGTGAAATAGTTCCAGACGTGAACATTTCGCACTTCACGTGTTTCATCAACCCACGCCCACAACATTCCTAAAGTAATTCGCTTAGTCAGCGCTTCAGGCTGGGGGGTGGGGGAGGAGATATCATCATTTCCATACGTCCTCCAATTATCTGGAACAGGTATATATGTGGGTTTGCGGGTGGGACAACACAGAGAATCTTCCTTTCTCTTGTGTATACCCGTTGGGTGTGATAGGTGAGGGTGAGTGAACGAGTGAGAGTGGTTGTGTGTCAGGGAACGTAAGGGCAAGCACAGATCAACAACCGAGATAAACGGAGTTTACGTACAACAGGTAAAATCTTTTCGGTCGCATATCACTCTCTCATCTATGTCTACGAAACGAAAATTGTGAGTGGGGACGAGAGAACAGGGGCTTTGTTCATGTGTTTTGTTTCGTTTCCCGGCCTCGTTCAATGAGACTGCCTGGAAATACTGCATAGTACTGCTCACGCGGTGAATTCGGGCGCGAGGTAGGGGGCTACTCGCATTGGAATTGCATGGGATGTGTTGTGGCTCTGTGTCAGTATTCAAGTGTCATTATGTACACAATGGCGGGAAACCCGGCCCCGTGAGAACTGATGGACGAAAAGGGGCCGGGAGCCTGATGGTGGTATTGTTGGCACTGTTACAGGGAATATTACGGTAAGGGTGAAGGCAGGATCATAGGGAGGAGCCCTCACAGGGGAAAGGGGGAAAAGGGAAGAAGACTATTTTTTGGGTTTGTGGGATGAGCAGTGAGATACATGTATGTGGTACTGTGGTCAAAGGGAAAAAGGCGTGCATAAAGTAGAACGTGTAATACTGCAATTTCCCTTTCCCTTTCTTTTCTTCTTTACACCACGCTCACATTCACACTGCAGCCGACCACACATGGGCGGAGACATGGCCTAGATCAACTTTTTTTTATGGCGCAAATCAACATTGTATAGAATGGACAGGGTACCTTGCATGGGGATTGGGGACGGAAACGAACAAAGATATACCGTTGGTTCCCTATCATCAAGAGGGTTGAAGGGCAGGGAAGCGGGTATGTGTGCACGTTTGAGACGGCGGGGGGATGGGGTGCTCGTGGATAGAGTGTAGGGTATTATTGAATGCGGTAGTTTCACTTGAATGCGCACGACAAAGATAATCAATTGTTGCACTGCGTTTTCAATACTACTATGAATGGTACTAGCTATAGGAGCTACAGACTGTATATATACTACTTGGGCGCTGTACGAAAGTAGCTATAGTAGCTATAGTAGCTGCCACCCAGACACCTATCTGTATAGTAAGTAGGGTTTTGGGTCCGGACAGCGTGCAGGTATCTAACAGTTAGCTCGCAGGTCGTGCGTAGTACTAGTACGTACTAGCAACTCTCCTGGTAGTGAGGATTTAATATGAAATCTCTCCCACAGGACCGTATTTCTAAAACTATGTACGTCTATTGTTGTCCCGCCCATTCACCCAGTTGGCCTTTTTGAGCGTGGGTAATGCACCAACTTCGCCTATTGAAAAATGATGAGATCCGAGGAGGGCTTAGATCTCATTTACTACTAGTGTTCTACCCCGCTTGGATCTGGCCACGAATTATGGCTGTTTGTTTCTTGGAAGTTGAGCTTAGCTAAGAAAGGGAAACTGGAAACGGCGTGCACGAGAAATGGGGAGCTCTGCCTGGGTGAATGGCTGGATGGACAGGCGAACAGATCGATGGATAGTTAGATGGCGTGAGTGCGATCTTATGGATGGAGGGGGTCCAGGATCAAGCTGATAATACGTGTATTGATTGAGTTGGTTAAGTCGAACATGAAAAACGGGCGGGCGCCTGGGCCAAGCGATCCCGTTTCCCTTCAATTTCTTCCTGTGTAGCACCACGGTTGTCAGAAACTGGGGGCCTAAAGGGTTCTTTCGTGTGGAAACAAAAAGGTAGGGGAGGTATTATAAAAAAGGACGAAACAAATTCATCTCTTTATTGGCCATGACCTTCCCACGATTGTGGGGGTGCGATAACAAGATAGGCAGGACCCACGTTTATAGTGCTTTTCTGTGGTTGATGCCACCTGGCATTAGATGCGAAGATACGTGTACAGTACACGTATTTTTCATGATGCTAAAGTGATGCTCCTTTAGGGCCCGGGGCTATGCATGAAGTTGATGGGTTTGGTTATCGGTTCACGGGATGTGATCATGATCTGGCTGTGTGCACAATGCGTGTGTACGGCGTGTTTTTGGGGTGTGATCGATAGGTGTTAATGCGTAAAGTTTTAGGCTCCCGTGTATATAAGTTGAAGAACCATGGTGTGCGGTGGAGTGATCGGGTCACTGGATTTGCATCACACGAGATAAGAGCTAAAGGTTTGAGCGATGAATGTGTATATGTGTAATTCCCAATTTTTGGGGGAGGGGAGTGATGTTGCAGTTTGAGATGAATCTTTGCCAGAAGCTCTTCCTAATATCTGGTCGTTGATGCTAATTCAACGCTAAAGCGCCCGCAACAGGACGTGTAGACACGTGCGACACAACAAACATAGAGAAAGGCATAAGCTACTCTCCTCGACCTTATACGCCAGTCAGACATACGTATGTGCCTTGACCTACTGCAGAGGAGAGTCACACCGGCGTGTCATAGACTCATGCCCTTCTATCTGACCAACAAATCAATCCCTCTTCCCCTTTCGAATCTGGGAGAGTAATCAACCGAACTGTCATTTGCTACGACATATTATGCGTGAAGGTCCGTTCAGGTGCACACTGCTGCACGGTTGCCACGGACAGAGTTGGGATAATAACGACGGTGCTTTAATGAAAAGCCTTAAGCAATATGCTCAACAGTGGGAGAAAGCTGTAGGTGCATTTGTCGGTATGTGATGATGTCTGAGTCTGAGGCGTAGTGCAACGGCGGGGAATGAAGGAACGGGTGTCGTACCGAGTTATGCATGATTCAATGAGGACCAAGTCAAACAGCTGCGTATAAGTTGAGTCCATGAGGCATGTCCATTCATCCATCCGAGCCCTCTTCGCAGGAATTCTGGGTAGAAGACTCCCGCCATATGGAGATTTTTCTCGGAAGTTATGTGGACAGGTGAAGACATAGGTTGCTTGGTATGGGAATTCAGCCGTGACTATGGAAGGATGATAGATGATTTTGGGCTGGTGCCCGGATGTAATATCCATGTAAGTGTGCACACCATAACCATACTCACTCGCAAAGAAGTCGCATGAGAAATCATTTGGGGACTGCTTATGATCGATGGAGGCTTGCGCACACATTGGTCAGCAAAGACCGGTATGAGCCAAGCTACATACATCGGTCATATCGCGCCGGCGCCGCGCGCTGAGCAGGGCAGATGCGGAGTAAGCGTAGTCGCGGAAAGCTAGCAGCAAGTTGTACCAAAGGTTTAATCATAGCTACTATGCCCCTTTAGCCGGGAATGGTGGATCCTGGACGTTCGGAAAAGATCAACGCACAGCAGATGGTGTGAGAGCCAGTTTGGCCGGGCCGAGTAGGTGTTCATTTGTGGTCCATTGTCATCACCCCCATCGACTCACTTCCTTTCACTTTCCCGGAAGCAGGGGAACACTAAGAGCGCAATATTATTGGACAAGTACTGCTTATTTCGAGCGATACTAGTGATTTTGCGGAGTCTGGTCTGAGTCTACTTAGTTTAGGACTCTAAGAAGGCCAAAGTTCTAAAGTGCCTTTAGCCTAGCTGTCGGGAAAGGCTTAGCGACGAAGGCTGAGTCCGGTGAACGTTGCAAAGCAGAGCCTCTGCTGCTTGGAGTTGATGGCATTGGATGGACAGAAAAGGAAGTTTGCCATCTGCGCAAAATCGTCCAAGTATGGAAAAAAAGTGGATAGGAAAGTGGAAGAATGAGAAAATTGGAAAATAGGAATATCTTATTCCAATTGCCAAAATGGAAATCTCAATCTTATTTTCATCAACTTTTTATTTTATTTTATTTTTATTTTCAAAATAAAAAAATCAACCCTGTAAGTGATTGAATTGGGCTTTGCATCCGTGACCATTGAATTAAGACCGCCGGTAAGTCGCAGTTATAACCAGACAAAAATGCAGAACGATTACTTGACTTGACTCCTTCACCATTCCACACAAAGTTCCCCCAACTCATCGTCTCCGTCGTCGACGGCGTCGACTTATATATCTCTCCCCATGACTGAGGTCTTCACGTCACGCAATCCACCCTTCCTTGGCCGAATGGTTCCGACTGACACCAGTTCTTATACAATCATGTACAACTCTTCTTCATCTTCCTCCAACTCCTTCGCCAACAACCATATCACTCCCACCCAGCCTCCCATGGATCCCCCTCAGCAGCCTCAACAGTTCTCCGACGATGCTTCTTCAGACCCAAACAAGCATCCCCAGCAGCAGCCACAGCAGCAGTCATCCGACAGGCTCGATGGCAAGATGCAGACCACCTTCCTCACCAAGCTTTACGAGTTGAGTCCCTGCCGTTGTTCTATTTATTTATGCTATATCTCTTCCCTTCCATAGTCTTCTCGAGAGACCCGAGTACCATCATATGATACGCTGGGATGCCAAGGGTGAACAGATCATCGTGGAACGCCCTGAACAGTTGGCATTGCATGTTCTTCCAAGCGTTTACCGCCAATCTCGTTTCGCTTCTTTCTCCAGACAACTTAATGTATGTTAGTCTCCCGCCTCTAATTATTTGCCCGAGATCAACTTCAATTCCCTCTGTTCCCCCTAGATTTATGGGTTCATGCGCAAGGTCAACCTTCGCAACATAGATCCTGCCATAGACGACCCTGATGCTTCCACTTGGTGTGAGTCTTAATTCCACGTCGAACGTGCTAAATGTCGTTGCATTCTTACATGCCGCCTCCCCGATCATGACAGCCCACCCTACATTGAACCGTCATTCTCCCCCCGAGGTGATCGCTGGCTTCAAACGCCGCGTCCCCCCTCGCATCCCAAAGGCCAAAAAGCAACAGGAAGGCATCCCCACAGCTTCGTCTCCTTACAAACCACTGGTCGGCTCCATCAGCAAACCAATTGCACCCCCGTTGACCAACCCTGCTGTTCGTTTGCCAACAAATGGTCGACCACGGGGTTTCTCAGCCTCGGCAGCCATGCATCCAAACGTCTCGTCCCCTCAACCACAACAGATCCCTCGTCAATTTTCTTCGCAATTACCTGCTTCATCTGCTGATGCCAATCCATACACGTTGCACCCTATATCCACCCCCGCCCTTTCCAACCCTTACTCCCAGCCCCAAAATAGCAAAGCATGGTCCCATTCATATGGCCGCAATGCTCTTCCCCCATTGACCATTCCCCCTGACGTTTCTTCCCTCCAAGGTACGCCTGCTCCCGCATCGTATTCTCCATACCCTGCGGCAGGATATGGTCACAACAATAACAACAACAATACCAATGGTGCCAGCAGACACAATCATCCCCCTATTACCCCAACAGATGATGCAAATTATTTGCCATCTGTGTATCAGCCATCTACTCAGCAACCGATTCGTGGAGATTCAGCCGGGATCTTTGGTGGCAACTTCGCATATGGATCTGACTCCACAGCCGCCAGTCCCATCAATGGACCAAGCTATAGTTCGTCTTCGAGCTTCATAACGCCGCAAAGTCAGTCTTGGAATGGATTCGACGCTCAAGGGACCCAACTACCCCCACTAAACACGAGCCCTTCATCTGGTGTCGCTAGCCTCTCCGCTTTACTCAACCCCTCATCCAATTTCGCTACTCAGACTCCGAGCAGATCGCCCGCTCTCCCACAAAACCAACAACTCCAAGGGCATTCGACAAGCGGTCCGAATTCATCATATCCTTCCCCTTTTAGCAGTGTTCCCCCTAACGGTGGCTTCTCGCGTGGTTTGGGAGCAACTGGTTCACCTGACGACAGTGCTAGTCGGCCTACCACCGGTTACTCTTCTGTGAGCGTATCCAGTATGACTAGCAGTGGGTATGGAAACGACTACCACCATACGCACAGGCCATCGAGTTCAACCGGTTTAGAAGGCCCTGGACTCATTCGGCGACCGAGGGGTCGGAGTGATTTAGCCGGTGTGGCCCCTTATCCATCGCAAGTGCAGCGGACCGGAAGTGCAAGCTCGTCCAGCTCGTCATCTGTTACTCCAATGGGGATGGGAACGGGAAGGCCTTTTACCGCGCCAGACAGCAGACGAAATGCAGGAATGGAAGTGTTGACTTCGGGATTGACACCGCCTGTTCATTATGCACATGGTCATCACACTACAATGTCGAGCCATGGGTATGTCCCTCCGGGGACGGGAACATCAGACGCGTCGTCGGCTCACTCGCCTCTCGCTCTTTCGCCCAACGCAACGTTTGCGTATAGCGTTTCGGGTCCACCGGATTCGCAACCACAGCAACACTATGGAGCGTATGGAAATTCCTCGAGGCCTAGCACGGCTGCCGGACACGGGATGGAAAGCGTACTCGAGGAGCCTGAGCATGCACATGCTTATGGTGCTCACTGTAAGTAAGCCATTTCCTTTTACACCACAGCCACTCGCGCCGTTGAGAGTGTGGGGGGCGGGGGTGATAATTGGAAATGATTTCGAAGACAAAGAAAAGGATCCTCATGTGCCCTTTGTTCCCTTGTCTCGCTTATCCTTCGCAGTTGGAGATGGGTCTAGACCAATATCGGCCTCACTGCTTGAGGTCCCCATTTGACCCTTTTTGCGAAACTTTTCCCTCTTCATTAGTGTCGTTCCACTTGTTCAGACCTATAGCAACCACCCTCGCGGATTTCCTTGTTGTTTTTTTTTTTTGTTTACCTCTATAGGATGTGTTTTGCTTTCCTTGGCTCTTTCTTTTTGGGTTCGTGGCCCACGTTGACCTTCTTGGATGCATGCTTCTACCTCGCCGTGCCCGCATTGTCGAATTGATTTTATTTGCACGTATTTAGTCGATTATCTTCGACCCCACTTCGTCCCGTCCCCTCCGTAAAGTCTCCTCGACCTTCGTCTTTCCCCTACCACAATGCGGAACCACAAAGCATTCCCTCGAACCACTTTGTGAAAAGCCCTAGCTGTCGCAAAGTTCTGGATACAAAAACGACGCCAAGTCACTCACTAACCCCGGTCTTCAAACCAATCTCAAAAGAAGTAATTCTCGACTCCGTTCACCAACAACAACCCACGGTCCCCCATCCTCCATTTGGCTATTCCTTTTTCTTTTTTAAGACCGTAAATTTTGCATTCATGTCCAACCGTTCGCCCCTAGACTGCCAGCTCGCTCGCTCCTTGTTCCACATTTTACTAGTGCTCTTTCAACTCAGCCTTTCTGCTCCCATACATCTTTTCCCTTGGCACATGGTATACATACCTATTCATGTACATACTTGCACTGCTTGCTCTCGATCTTGTCTCTTCGCATCATCACCACACAGCAGTACTTACTCATCCATCATTCATCGTTCATCATCGCCGTCGTTAACATAACAACCAGATAGTTACTCCCCTCGATCTCGATCATTTGAAAGGGTGCGAAGCATCTTCGACATCATCAAGTATTCCCTCGCTCTTGTTCTTTCCTCACAGCTGTTACCGGTGGGCTGCATTCAAATGAACACTGGTGGCCGTTTGTTCGTCTTCTTTTTCTGCTTTTATTTCGGTTTTGGACTAAAGTACAAGGTTGTTTGTTCCCTTTGATACCGAATGGAGTCGGTGTTCTAAGCTGTTTTCCTTTGGGCGCTTTCACTTCATTCTGAGCGACAATTAATACGGCTGTTACGTAGGTTTTATCATGCAAGCTCGTGAGAAGCTGGTCAACTAAGGGTAGGAATTACCGCTACTGTTCATGATGATACGTCACATCTGGGAGAGTGAGAGAGCAGGCCCGTGATGGTATCACATCACACGCCCCCGTTCGCTGCCGATCTCGTTCGAAAGGTGTGGCCACTTGGGCAAATATTGATATTGCCCACTCTCATGCCGCGCACATCAACTACGTACATGCGCAGGACTGAAAGGCTGCGCTAGCTACCTTCGTAATTAGGATTACAACGATCAACCATATTAGCGACTAGGCAGAACAAGAAAATCAGACTTGAAAGAAGATCTCGAGATTGGTCCACGAACTCATGATACGACAACATGACCGCGACTCTATGACCAAGTATCGAGCATGATCGATCGACGGGACGCCGGCGAATTAGTGACACTCAAGGCCTGAAGTTGAAGTTTTTTCTCAGCTCATCGTCGATTCATTGGTCCTCGTACTCAATCATTCCCATGTAGAGTGACGGCTAATCAATATATGCATGCATACCTCCATATTTTATGGATTCCCATCATTAAAGACACCATCAAGCTGTTCACTCGCCTACTCAAATTCATTTCATGCACTTGGCTGCTCCACCGTGACCTGCTCACGCCGATGATCGCTTTTCTTGCCCACTCGGTCGTGTATGGAACTATCACCGGGAGGTTGCGAACGTACTCCAACGGCATTCCCTGATGGTGCAGTGTTCCCCACAGGTGACCGATTTTGTCATGGATGTGCAAGGATTCATTACGGTGTCTTTACTTGGCTATTCAACTTGGCAAACTGATATGTATGGGTGACTACGAGGAGCTCCATATAGCTTGCCTGAGACAACACGGGTCGATTGCCAGAACGATGCGACATGCATATGTTGGCAATGTACTTGATAGTTCTCACTGGCGAAATGGTACCGCACTGTGGATCCGGCTTTCTTTCTACTCCCTGCTCGAGGCCTCCGCGCTGACTGCTATCTCCCATGTCCCAATACTACCACCCAAGCTTAAGCCTTAACCCTACTACTAGGCTTCGCGTTCCATAGCACAATATGATACTCCATCTCTTTCTCGACGCATCGGAATCGTCATCTTACCATTTCGATCAACGGTACATGCACTAACACCGACCCGCTTTGCCCACGGCCTCTTTTCACAGGCTGTTACTCTGCTTGGATATATTTGTATCTATATTCAAGGAAGTGGAGTGGATTGGCGCATGCGCGCCTCCAGCCTCGATCACACTCATACATATATATGAAGAAGAAGCTATGCCTGGGGGCGGAGCGTCAACTTTGGAAATTCTTCCGAATATAATAAAAAGGGAGAGGTGGAAATGAAATGTAATCTGATGGTGGCCATAGTGCGGCGCACGGCGATGTACCCGAAGGTTTGCTTGTCGACGTGCAGGCTTGAATGATGCCTCGTAGCTGGACTGGTATGCATTCTCAGCATGCTGACATACGTACGTCTCTGGATGAAGATCGGAAGCGGATCAAGTGTGGTGAATTTAACGTGACACCCTGCATCATAATGTCTTGCCTCGGACATCGACCGGGGGAGGGCCACATCATACCTTCCGAGCGCCTCCTCCGCACCGTCACCGCTGCTTTAGTTTGACTGCGTGAGCACACGGGCTACAACGCGCGGCCTCAGTGGCCGCTGCGGCAGAGCTACGTACATACATAAATTACCTACATTCCTTACATCTAGTGAAATTTACGGTCTTACGATTGGTGTGGTGGCTTGTCCTTTGAGGATTTTGTCATTGAACCACTCAGGACTTGTTCCGCTCGATCACCTTGGTTTCGGGTCTAGACCATAAACAGTCAGCAGGCACAGCTACATAAATCAACTGGACGCCTCTGTTCGCGCCCTCCCTCCATGCACACTCGGGCTTCCCATCTCTCCGCCGACTCTGGCACCATATCCATATCTTCCTTGCGGCTGGATAGACTAGTTACTACCATTCACGATTTTGGTCATTATACCTAGCTGGCATATTGTAGATCATCGCGCGCGTTGACCGCGGACTTCGGCCTCGGCAATTCTCGAGTCACCGGATGAAAATGGATCATGCACCAGGGAGCCTGGAACTATTTGATAGGTTTGGGTCATGTTCATGATCTTGATAAACACGAGTGAGAGTACGAGTGAGTCAAAGGATTGTTCTGGAGTTATTCTGAATGTTTTGGGAACCAAGAAAGTTTTGTGCATCAGAAAGTGATGAGTCCGGCGAGTGATCATCTCCAAATCTAGACTCGCATGCATATGTATCTATTAGCGGAATTTCCTTTATCTGACGTTGGGGATATGTTGTACGTGTTCCGATTTTTCCGCGTTTTTCCGTTTGTTTACGCCTCCCCATCATTGGGTCGGACTCAACACCGATTGTGCTATGGCTGTGGCATCATCATTCCAGGAGAGAGATATTCATACTGAATTATGTGCTAGACTGGGAAAGTGATTTACGTTCAGCTGTATGTGTATAACTGTCAAGCACTCACGTTGGAACCATGCAAACGTGTGTTTGTATTTGGACTTGCATGTACTAGTGTACACAGCCGAAAGTTGAATGTCGATCGGATCTTGCACCAAATAATGAAAAGCCTTGTAAATCAAACCGTTCAGATTGGTCAGCACAAGCACATGCTAGAGCAAGCGAATTACACTGCACTCTACCACACCTGTGGTTATCATTATACTATAGTAGTGAAGATTTGCCCAAGTCACGCCTCGTTGTGTGTCCCCGAAACGATAACCAATGCAATGCAAGCATTTGCACATTTACCCTGACGATCCGCGTAGTCTTGCCACGGACTATGGCTTAGAGGGTTTCCAAGAAATGCGTGAGAGTGTGTGCATAGCATTGGTTTCGATCACAGGCGGAGGCGCATGGTACAAGTGGTACTTCTTGGGCAAGCTGTGCTTAGCTAGTACCGTTCAATTATCGAAATCAGACTGTACAGTATGAAGCACGTCCCCTCGACGATCCCGAATCCGACAGTTATTTCTGTGTGCAACTAGGGTATAAACGCTTGGGCCACACTGAGAGCAACACGTGCATAGCGCTCGTAGATTTACTGGCACGCTAGCACGGATCAGGAGGACCCAGAAGCTCGTTTTGCTCAACGCGTCACTATCCCGGGGCTCCTGTCAAAAGCAAATTAAATGTCAGTTGAGCAGATCAAAGAAGGCGCAGAAGGAAGGGTTTGAAAAAAGAACTCGCGTCCGGAAAGGAGGAAAATAATAATAATTGTATCAATACAGTGGATCTGGCTTCGATTCCTTTTCAGTCATTTATCAAAAATTTCTTCGTCCTCGCCATCAGCGAGTAAAAGCGGAAGGAAAATCATTATTGGGGGTACAACAGCACCGAGCTGCGCTGGGGAGCTCCGAACAACTCACAGCCATTTGAGCTTAATGCCTCCTATCTTTGAATGAGATGGCAAATGTAAATCATTTTCCTAAAAGATTCCAAGACGTACAAGTATGGAGTGGCTGGATGGCAGATAGGGTGTTCTGTGAATGAAGGCGCATGGGCACCTGTTGAAGAGTACATATCGGCGGTGATCACTCTTGACCGCTGATTTCATGTCTCGTTTGCCCAGCTGGTCAGGTTTGCCCGAATAATATGCATATGCACTCACGAAACCGGCCAATTGAACGGGTTCCTCGCAGCCTCCCCCCTCTCCGCGCTCTCCCTTTTCATGCGCAAAAAAAGGGGGGAACGTACTTAGTAACTGCTTATATAGTATGCAACATGGTTCCGTGCAAGATCAATCGTGTAGGAAAAGGAGCAAAA